GATACAATGTAGGCAAAAGAACTGGAAGAATTTAATGGAATCCTTGCAGGACATGGGGTGGGAAGAGCTGTAGTAAAGGTAGCTATGGGAGTCAGTGGCTTTGTAGGATGACAGTGGACAGTTTATTCCCTGGAATGGAGACGGGGAGGTCAAGGAAAGGAAGGGAAGGGAAGGGAAGTGTCAGAAATCGATGATGTGAAAGTTATAGAGGGTAGAAATTGGAGGCAAAGTGAACAAGTTTTTTAGGGATTTTCAAGGATTTGGCACATTATTCAATGATTTGCTGTATTCAGTCTAAGTCACAGCACAAAACAAAAACCGCATTTGTGCGGCAATTCATGAGCTGAAGCTATTTGTCAGTTCCAGTGCGAATCGGGATAAATTGGCATACAAATAACCCAAATTAAACAGCTAAGTACATACAGAATCCACCAGAAAAAAAAACGCTCATAACAATAGGAAATTCTGTAATATCACAAACAAGCAATGGATTTCATTCAGCTTTTATGTTAAGGAATCACTGGGATGCCCCTCACTGCTGTAAACCTGGAGTATTCCATGGACTTTCAGCCCATGAAATGTTTCTGATCATTATATTGTGCAGCAGAATTAGAACAAATGGCCCCAAGGCTAGAAAGCAGTGAAGGAACCCAATTGTTTCCCTGATAGATCATTCTAGGACTTTGACTGCTACATCACAAATCCAATGAATGGTACACAGGATATATCAACCACTGAACATATAACACCAGGAAATAGTGCTCAACACAGGCACTGTTTCTAGAAAAAGTTTCCGTTTTCTCCGTGCAATATTTAGTTTCCTGTTTCTAACAACAAATAAGCACAATTCAATCAAAAATGAAAGTGACTGTAAACCAGTTTATTGCTGCATGAAGGTGGGTGGACCACATTACACACAGGAATGCATTTCATAAAAACTGAAATATTCTTCACAAATAATTGGAATCTGCCTCAATCTCAGAGTGATCATTATATCTAATAGATCCATTTTTGGAATATCTCGAAACACATATGAAGAGACCACACTTTATCTGAAACAGAATCATGACCAGCACTACATTAACTGTAAGAAAAAAAACATCTTTAAGCCCCCATCAAAATCTAAATTAAGAATTTGGCAATTCTGTTCAGGATCATGAGGTGACCAATACTTGCCTTTAATGAGCATTTGCTGAATTGTAAATTTATCTATTCTTAAGTATTCTTAATTGTATATTCAACAAACTACAAAATTTTCAGAAGCAATTAATACAAATGTCAATGATTTAAAATGTCCACTGCTTTGTCAAAGATGGAAATGAACACCCAGGAACAATGTAATCTTTTGAAGTCATTTTTGAACTTGAGGGTAGGCTTTGGTCCTATTTAAGTAATCTCGATTGTTTGCCAACTACAGCATTTAACACTCTTAAGACAACAGCTTGAGACTTTAGCATAGAGACAGGAGAAATCTCTTCACTTAGAGGGTCATGAGCTATACTCCTGTTCTTCTACTTCTTAATTCTATCGTAATTTCTATTGGAAGAAATTGCAATTTTCACGTCAATGCTGCAGCATCTCCAAAAGATAGAGCAGCAGAAATTTATACAACTGATTCAACAAAAATACAATGTCAGATGTGATGTGGGGTGGGTGGAGGAGTTAGGGACGAATTTTCTGAGCCCTTGCTCTCAGTGCAGAAACCTGGCCACATGCAGCATACACCAGAATTCCTAACATCCCCTTTGGTAAGAGCTTCACAGAATTGAATTTCCAATAAAATTCTACATATTATGTGGCTAAATAAATCCAAATGCAAGCCTAAAGAAATTACATCACCCTTATCATGCTTGCTTAACAAAAAAAAGGTTCAAATCTCTCTAGATAGATTTAAAAGGTTAAATCTATCTAGATTGCAAGAATAAAGGCATTGCATTTTCATATAATCATTAAATGGCTACAGGACAGAAAAAAAGATCATTAAACTCCTTTGTCCATACTGACTCTGCCTGCTTTTTCCCTATAGCCAAGCATTTTGTTTTTCTCAAGATATTTATTCAGTTCTGTTTTGAAAATCATAGCTGAAGCCAGCTTATGTTCTGCCACAGATTCCATTAATTCAATGCATATTTTATTTTTCTTTTATGTCACAATTAGCTTCTTTGACAATGATCTTAAAACAGTTTCTCCTGGTTTTCATTTCTCCCAAAATTATTGCATCCCATCTGCACTCTCCGGAACTCTCATGATTTTGAATACCTGTACCAACTTTTCAACCTCTCTTTTTTAAAGAGAACAGTCCCAGCTTCACAAGTCTTATCCAGTAACTGTAGTCTCTGAATTCCAAAACCATTTTTGTAAATCTTCTCTGCAACCTCTCTGATGCATTCACATCCTTCCTAAAGTGTGGTACCAAGAATTGGATGCAATATTCCAGTTGAGGCAGAACCAGAGTTTTATGAAGGGTCACTATGATTACTTTCATTTTGTCTTCCATGCCACTTAATGCGGAGATCTGTATGCCTTATTCATCAATTTTTCATTCTACTTTGCCACATTCAATGATTTGTGTACATACATCTCCAGATCCCTCAGCTCCTGCACATACTTTAGAATTACATCATCTGCTTTATATTCCTTTGCCTCATTCCTACTCAAATGTATCATTTCATACTTCTCTGTATTATGCATCTGCCAGATGTCCTCCCATTCCCCCATCTTGCCTATGTCCTTTTGAAGTCTTTCACTATCGCCTTCACACTGCTTCCAAGTTTAATGTCATCTGCAAATTTTGAAATGTTGGTCTCCATATCCAGTCCAGGTTATTAATACATATCAAGCAAAACACTAGTCTGTAGGCCATCTACAGCAGCTGAATTATACCCCAACACAATCTGTAACCTCATGCCCTAATGAAGGGTCCCAACCTGAAACGTTGACTTTCCTGCTCCTCTGATGCTGTCTGACCTGCTGTTTCTCCAGCTCCAAATTGTATTGACTCGACAATGCCAATTTCAACCTCATGGCCTGGCATATCCTCCAGTCAGAGGATCAACGCTGGCTTAATGAAGTGGGCAGGAGGGCTTGCCAGGAACAGCACCAGGCATAGCTCAAATGAGGTGTCACCTGGTGAAGCTACCAAACAGGACTACTTGCTTGCCAAACAGCATAAGCAGCAAGTGATAGCGATCCTACAACAAACTGATCAGATCTAAAGCTCTGCAGTCTGCCATACAATCATGTATGGTGATGGACAATTAAATAACCCACTGGTGGAGGAGAATCAACAAATATCTCCATACGCAATGGTAGAGGAGCCCAACAGGTCAGTGCAAATATTAAGGCTGAAGCTTTCACGACAATCTTCAGCCAGAAGTGCTGAGTGGATGATCGATCTTGGTCTCCTCTAGCAGTCACCAGCGTCAGAAATAGCGGACCTCATTCAATTTGATTCACTCTATATGACATCAAGATAGCGTTGGAGATATTGGATATTGTGAAGGCTATGGACCCTGTCTACAATTCAGCAATAGATCTGAAGACTCATGTTCCATAACTTGCCACTCCCCTAGCTAAGCTCTTCCAATACTGTTACAACACTGCTATTCAACTGACAATGTGGAAAATTGTCCAGGTGTGACCTGTACACAAAAAGCAAGACAAAACCAACCCAGCCAATTACTGCCCCATAAATCTACTTTCGATCATCAGTAAAGTGACAGAAGGTATAATCAGTGTTATGATGCAGCAACTGCTCAGTGAAACCCAGTTTGCATTCTACCGGGGCTACTCAGCTCCCGACTTCTTTTTCTTACCCGTTCCTTCTTTAATAATTCTCACTTCTCCCCATCTCCAACATTACAATTCAATCTCAGAATAAATGTGGAATTCTCATTTATCATCAAAGTGAATCATTTAATTATAACAAGACCTTAGGGAAAGGCAGATCAGTGGGTCCTGAACAGACTAGAAGTTAATAATACACAGCCAGAAGGCTGATGACATCACTCAGCAGTAATACTCAGTTTAGACAAAAATTTAACAAGAAGTAAATTGCACAGTGTTCTTGCTTTTTCTGACTTCACAAAATTTTCAAAGTGCAATATTTTCTAAGACACCTTGTGGTTTACAAGCATCATGCAGATACCTGTGAAACTCTAAATTATTTATTTCACCAATTTAAGAATTATTCACACCAAAGATGTTAATAGCAAAGAAACAATATTAGAGATAGAAGGTGGGGCATGAAAGTATCCTAACCTAAGCCTCAGGAGGCCAACAGGATTAGATGGAACTCCCTAAATACTATATACCAATTTACTCTGCCTAATGGAATAATTTTAACATATCTCACCAGTCAAAAAACCTGATGGGATTGGATACAATGTTGTTTTGACATCTCTTCCAAATTTACCCTTCATTGGAGCCAACAAATAATATTAGGTGAGAAAATTGTATGAGAAAATTCACATTTCACAAACTCATAGGTTTCCCATTTGTTTGTTTTGATTAAAATTGCCCCAAACATACCCAAACAAAATTGTTAACCATCACTCTCAGGGTTTGTGACATCACTAGAACCTCACCATATGACACTGAGCTGCTGTGTTCTACACTTACCAGTCCACTATTTGATATTTAGTACACATTGCGACAAAACATGAAGACAGGTTAGAGTATGTTTTAATGTCTGAAAATGTCAAGCAAAAACTTTCTTGTTGTTTCCTAGCAGGCAGATGAGCAGCAGATGATTTCCACTGAACTAAGGAATCCAGAAAAGGGAAACCTCAAGATAAGTAAACATAATAAAAGCTTTTTAAAAAAAAAACAACAGTCCAATTGAGAAGGAAAATAACTATAACTGATGTTGTTAGGTTGCAATTGATAAACCATTGTACTGCAAATTACAGAAGTGACCTCCACATCAACGTCTATGTGATGCATTATGACATCTTTTGCACATCTGTAACCCAAGTCAAGGGCTGACTCATGTAGCCCTAATGACGGTTCAGGTCTGTTTTATATCAATGTTGACTAAGTCTGATTTCCTAATCCCAACAATTCTGCCATCTAAATGTACAGTTGGGAGCCTAATATGGAAAATAACATCCATTTTGACTACGACAGAGAATGAGCAGCCTTTTTAACTGTGTCAGGTTGATAATAAATGCATGGGTGAGTGTTGTTAATGGGTAAATCTTTACCTACATTTGGAAAATATTCATTTTGATCTGTTATCAGTAGAACAAAATTTTAGGGGTGGTTACTTTTGTGAAGAGACTCCCTCAACACATGTATAATATTTCTTTAATTGTAACTATCCATAGAATTGCTATCTACTTAAATTGGTTACCATGGAAATGTATACATAAAAATACAGATAATGCAAGTTACTAATTATTACTAGAAGAACGACCCAAGCTGGTGCTTCTCATAGCAAAGCAACAGAACAAAGCAGAACACAGAAACATAGAAAATAGCAAGAGGAGTAGTCCATTCAGCCCCTCGACTGCTGCACCATTCACTATGATCGTGGCTGATTGTTCAACTCAGTACACCTGTTCTAGGTTTCTCCGCATACACTTTGATCCCTTCAGCTCTATGAACATGTCTAATTCCTTCTTGAAAATATTCAATGCATTCTCCTCAACTGCTTTCTGCAGCAGAGAATTCCACAGGCTCACCACTCTCTGGGTGAAGAAATTTCTCCTAGTCCTAATGCCCTACTCTGTATCTTCAGACTGTGACCCCTTGATCTGGACTCCCTCATTGGGAACATCCTTCCTACCAGAAATAAATCAGGAAAAACAAATGTCACATAAGTATATTTTCTACTTTATACTTTTGGAATGAGGGGAAATGGAACCAGGAGGTGGATTTGGTGTCAAAAATTTTCACTCATCGTATTTAAATATGCCCTTTCAATTGACCACTTTTGTTTTAAAGACAATGCAAAATGTAGTTTAATCAGAAAACGAACGATCAAAACGCATGCCCTTGAGTTTAGAAGTTCAGAAGTAATCAAATTATGATGTATGAAATTAAAATTATGAAAAAAGATTTGAGTAGCTTCAGAGGAATTATTTCTCTAATGGGAAAATAATCCAAAGGCCCGGGCTAATGGTCTGGAGAGTGGTGTTCAAATCCCATATGGAATTAAAAGTCAATTAACAAGTCTGGAATAGAAAAGCTAGTCTAAGTAATGATAACTATATAATTATTATCAGTTTTAGATGAACCCATCTGGTTAACTAATATCCTCAGGAAAGGATTTCTGCCATCTTTACCTGGTCTGGCCTCCATATGACTCCAGCCACACAACAATGACATTGATCTGAGCTGCCCTCTGACGAAAGCAATTCAGTTCAGGGGGAAATTCGCAATGAACAACAAATGCTGGTTTATCAATAATATCCTCATCCCATGAAGGAATAAGGAAACAAAAGGGCAATAGAAATAAGGGGCTTGTTTTCCAATGTCTGTAGGTGTGGGGACAATGAAAGTGTTCAAGACCAAGACCCCATTGCATTCATTGCTCTCATCAAAGGACATTCATTTCATCTCATGCTGCATCTAATTTTTTTTTGTGGTTTCTAGTGGCTCTATTTTTTAAAGTTACTAATTTTATCTCATTTTAATATGGTCAAATTTTTTATGTCTTCTCCCTCAGCTAACATTAATGTCTTTCTGATACTGTTGATTTGTTACGAGACGGTAAAGAAATGGGTACAGGAGTAGGCTATTGGTCCCTCGAGACTGTTCTGCCTTTCAATAGGATCATGGCTAATCTGACATTCCTCACATCCACTTTTCTGCATTTTCCTTAACTCTTGATTCTCTTACTGATCAAGAATCTGTCTCAGCCTGAAATATACATAATAACTCTGCCTCCTCATCTCTTTGTGGCAAAGAGTCCCAAAGACTCAAAACCCTCAGAAAAAAAAAGAAATTCCTCCTGATCTCAGTCTTAAATTGCTGTCCCTTTATTCCAAAACAATGCATTCTGGTCCTAGAGTCTTCCATGAGAGGAAACATCCTCTCAACATTTAGCCTGACAAGCTCCTTAAGAATCCTACATGTTCCAATGATATCACCTTTCACTCTTCAAGATTGTAATGAGTAGAGTCCCAACCTGTTCAGCCTTCGTTTATGAAATAATACCTACATACCCCGGAGATCATCCTGGTGAATCTCTTCTGAACTGCCTCAAATAAAATGATATCTTTCCTAAATAAAAAGGGAACAAAACTGCTCCAGATGTGGTCTCATTAGCTCCTTGTGCAGTTGCAGTCAGACTTTCATACTCTTATACCCCAAACCCCTTGAAATAAGGGCCAATATTTAATTAGCCTTCCTGATTACTTGCTGCACCTGTGTGCTAGTTTTCTGTGTTCCATGTACAAGTACTCTCAGGTCCCACTGTATTGCAGCTTTCTGCAATTTTTCTCTATTTAAATATTATTCTGTTCTTTTGCTCTTCCTTTCAAAATGAACAACTTCACATTTTCCCACATTACACTTCATTTGCTGACTTCTTGCCCACTTACTTAACCTATGAACATCTCTCTGTAAACTGTTTGTATCCCTCTTATAACCTGGCTTTCCACTTATTTAAGTGCCATTTGCAAATTTGGCTACTGTGCATTCACTTCTTTCTTCTGAGTCATTTATATGTATTGGAAACAGTTGCGGTCCCAGAACTGAACCTTGTGGAATCCCACTGGTCACAGGTCACCACCTGAAAAACAATCCCTTATCCCCACTTACAGTTTCCTGCCCATGAGCCAATTCTCTATCCATGCCAACATACTAATCTCTAACACAACAGGCTCTTATTAACTTAACCCTTTGTGATGTACTTTTCAAAGGCCATCTTGAAGTCTAACTACAACACATGTACTGGTTCCCCTCGATCCACTCTGGTTGAGACATCCTCAACAACCTCTAATAAATCAGTCAGACACAATTTTACTTTCATAAAGTCATGCTGACTCTGCTTGATTGGATTATGATTTTCCAAATGTTCTGCTATTACTTTCCTGATAATTAGTTCCAATACTTTTCTGACAGATGTTATGCTAATCCTACTACAGTTACGCACTTATATCCTGCCTACCTATTTGTAATCGGGTTGTCACATTAGCAGTTTTCCAAACCTCTGGTAGTTCTCCAGAATCCAAGGACTTTTGGAAAATTACAACAATGCATCCACTATCTCTGTAACCAACTCTTTTAGGATCTTAGGATGCAAACCATCAGGGTCAGGGGACTTAACTGTGTTTAGCCTCATTAGTTTCTCTAATACTACTTCGAGTGATGGAGATGATGCATAATTCCTCACCAGATGCTTTAGTATTAATGGAATGTTCGAAGTATTTTCCACCATAAAGAGTGATGAAAAATATCTGTTTAACTCCTCTGCCATTTCCTTGTTCCCCTTAATTATCTATAGATTCATTTTGTAAGGGGCCTATGTTTACTTTGACTGCTCTCTTCATTTTTATATATTTAAAGAAACTCTTATTGTTAATTTTCATATTTTTTGCTAGTTTGGCCTCATAATTTATTATCTTTTTAGTCCTGTTTTGCTGAATTTTCAATTAATTCCAGTCTTTGGCGTTACCACTGACTTTGGCATTTTTATATGCTTTTTCTTTCAATTTAATACACTCCTTAAACTTCCTTGGTTAGCCATGATTGGTTTATCCCTCTCAGAATCTTTCCTCCTTACTGGGATGTATTTTTGCTAAGTCATGACTTATCTCCTTAAATATCCACGACTGCTTGCTTACTGTCATTCCTGCTCATCTACCAGTCCAGTCCACTTTAGCCAACTCTTTCCTCATTTCATTGTAATTCCCTTTATTCAAGTAAAAAAATGAACCTGAACTCTGGGCCCTGGTCATTGGGCCCAATTTTTGACCCTGTGCTGGACCCTTTCTACACGTGGAACAGATATTGCAGAAAAATGTGGGGAATTAAAGAAATAGAGAAGAGTTGACCTGGTGTGGAGGTTTAGTAATTTTAGCAACTTGGTCAGATGGATTATTAAAATGTTTAAAATCTCAGACCCGACCTTCCATGCATTTCCAGTTTAAGTAGAAGAGGTTGGGATGATTGATAAACTCACTCCCAGGAGAGAAATAAGCCATTTAAACATTAAAATCAGGCTCTAGCTCTTCATATTTCACCTTCCAGTTTTAGCCCTTGATGGCCATGTTTCCTAAGCTTCTACAAAACTGGAAAACTGAAGGGAAACAATGACTGCTTTGAAGAAAAGTTAACACTTTTATAGCACTATTTGTGAACCTGGAGTAATTCTTCCTTCCAGCCAAATAAACTTTCTTTCTAACTCACTATCTATCTCACTCCTCCTCATTGGATGTCTCTGGAATCAGAGATTGGAATACTCCCGTGGAAATCCGAATAACTCCAAATCCACATCTAAACTCCTCTGAAGTCCCACTAATGCAGCAGCAAACCACCACGCTGTTCCTGGAACTGGTGATGACCTTGTGGTATTATCAATAGAATATTAATCCATAGATCCAGGTAATGTTCTTGGCCACAGGTTCAAATCCTGCCATGGCAGATGGTAGAATTTGAATTCAATATCAAATCTGGAACTAAGAGTCTAAATGATAACCATGAAACAATTGTCAGAAAAATGCATCTGATTCACTAGTGCCCTTTAGGGAAGGAAACTGCCATCCTTACCTGGTCTAGCCTACATGTGATTCCAGACCCACAGCAAAGTGGTTGACTCTAGGCTATAAGAGATTAGCAATAAATCCTAGTCCCATAAACAAATTGAAAAGAAACTAGAGTGTGGTGCAGAATAAAGCCAACAGCACAGTTTCAGTCCATTTGGTAGTTCTTGGTCAACTGGTTCCTCATCTAGTCTTAAACTTGTGGAGCGGTCACCCCTCAGTTTTGTGATAACCAATTGTCTCTCTCTAATGGAGAGAGAGAGAGATGCTTGTGGTCCTTTGTGGTCTATGGTTTCTTATAAATACTTATTTAAGGAAGTCTTTCTTTCTATTCTTGCAGTATGGGCAAAAGGAAGATGTAAGTGAAAACCTGGATGAAAGTGTTGACCAGATCACTCAATCAATAACAAAACCCGAAACTTTGATCCTGGAAACGTCAAAAGATGCTGTTGAGTCACACAATGACCTAATCATCTCTGAAATGCTCGCATCCTTGTCAGTATTGGAAGAGAAAGAGGCCACTGTAATGAAAAGGCACCGTGCCATGCGTCATGGCAACAAAATAATTCACGGGTTAAGTGAAGTCTTTGAGGTAATGTACAGATGACAAGTCAATGCTAACAATAACCACACATTGCCGTTTAATTTAAACATGATATTTTCCCAGCATCTTAGTTATTGGCCAGAGTATTAGAGAGTGACCACATGACAGTCAACTTTTGAAAGCTAATATTGAACGGAATATTTAATGATGACAGCTTGGAGGAACCACTCCTTGCTATTGGCCAGAACATTTTATAAAATGAAAACCGCAATGGAATTGTATTTTTCACCTCCTGCTAGCTGGAGCTGTTGATAATGGAATTGTGTTGACCCAAGGCATTTATAGTAGCTTTTGCTTCTGTTCCTGAAGCTAGATAGCAACGAGCGGGGAACGGTTGAACTACTGGACGTGACCCCAGAAGATATGCCACCTCTTCCACCTCCAATACAAGCCAAACTCACAGCACAAGAGAGAAAGAGAGGCAATATCATCCATGAGATCTTAAACTCAGAGCGGGACTATGTTAAAAACCTACGTGATATCTATGAGGTATGCCGTGGATGACAAGTCAAAAGAAATAACACTCATCAGTGCTGTTCAATTGTACACAATGTCAGAATTACTGAATTGTTACAGTGTAGAAGGAGGCCATTCAGCTCATCGTATCAATGCCAGCTCGCTGAATGATTATGTAACCCAAAGCCATTCTCCCAGCTCTTCCCATAAATATGCAAATTCTTCCTTTTCAAATAACAATCTAACTCTCTTGCAATGCACTAATTGAACTCATCTTTGCCACACAGTCAGGCATAGCATTCCAGACTGTGACCATCACTGTGTGATAAAGCTTTCGTTGTAATATTGTTTTTTTTTCTTTCACCAATTACTTTAAATCAGTGCCCTTTCGTTTCCAATCCTTTCTCAAGTCAGAACAGTTTCTCCCTGAATGGTTTGTCCTCATGATTCGGAATACAGCCATCATATTTTCTCTCAGTCTTCCCTTCTCCAAGTAAAACAGTCCTAACTTTGCCAACCCGTCTTCAAATTTGAAAACAAGGGAAAAATAATTTCAGGAGCCTGTGCTGGGAAATCATATCTGCTGGGCAACATAAATATATACACAGGAACATATGAAGTAGGAACACTTGACTATTTGGCTCCCTGATCCTATTCTGCCTTCTGATAAAATCAAAACTGATCTGATTGCACCCCCTTGTTGCATATTGGGTCATTTTCAGGTTGTCAATTAAACATGCTGTTTCCAGTATCTATAATCAATATTTTTACCCCCTCCAGGATGAACTTTTACTTTGTATAATAATTTTTGATGTCATATTTTGTCAAATACTTTCCATAAATCTAAGTATAACATACCTACATGTGCCCCTTTAACCATGCTGTTTGTTACTTCAAAGAACTCCAATAAATTAGCTAAACATAATTTGCCTTTCACTAAATATGATGACTCTGCCTGAATACATTGAAATTGTCCAAATGCCCTCCCACAACTCCCTTACCAATATAGATTCCAGCATTTTTTCAATGACAAATGTGAAGCTAACCAGCCTGCAGCTTCCATCTTATGGTCTCCCTCATTTCATGAATTGAACATTTGCTGTCTTCAAATCTGATGGACCTTTTCAAATCTGGGATCTTTCAGAAAATTAAAACGAATGCATTTACTATCTGTGCACCCTATACTAAGGTCCATTAGATCCTGGGGACTTGTCAACTTCCAGTTATCATAATTTTGTCAGTACTCTTTTGCCTGGTGATTATAATTGTTTTATGTTTCTTCCTCCCTTTCTCTGCTAATTCACAATTATTTCTGAAATCTTACTTATATCCGCTACAGTGAAGTCAGATCTAACATGTCAATACAATCCACCTGCCTTTCTTAACTTTCTGTTATTATCTCCCTAATCTAACATTCTGGAGCACCGACTCTCTCTTTGCTTACTCAATACCTGTAGAAACTCTTACTGTATTTTTATCTTTCTAACTAGATTTCTCTAATACTGAGTTATCCATTCTAATTAATATTTTAGTCATTATTTGTTGTTATTTATATTCTGTACAATCTTATGACTGCTGCAAAATGTTTACAAAATGATGTGTTTTTTATCCTCCTTAGCCGCAGGTGGTAGCTTCTTCCCTTAGACACATTTTTGGCCACTGAAAAGTATATTTTCTGAGTGTAATGAAGCATCTCATGCTGTGTGCCACTGCATGTCTACTGACCTACCCCATACCTAATTTCCCAAGTCAGTTCAGCCCACCGTATTTCCAGGTCCTTGAAATTTTCTCTATTTAAGAGCACAACACTCGTCCTGGATCAATTTATCATTTCCTGAAACTGAAAGCTAAATTCAAACCGACAATGGGGTATCTTCACTAAGACATTATTAATTAATCTGTCTCTATGCTTATTATTAGATCTAGTCTTGTCTACTTGCATCTAGGACATACTGCTTGAAGAAACTGACCTGAAAACACTAAATTTATCATTCAGGATACTTTTACCAATCAGATTTGTCCTATCTATAGGTAGATTAATATCATTCACTATAATCACTGTGCTTTTATCGTAGCCTTCATCATTTCTTCCTGTGCACCCCATACTAAAATGTGGTTACTCTTCGAAGTAAATAAACCACTCCTGCAGGTGAATTCTTGTCTTTACTCTTCCTTACCTCTACTCAGTCCAGTTCTATACTTTCATCTCCAGAACTAAGGACTTCTCTCTATTGTAGAAATCACGTTCCTTATTAATAAAGTGACAACTTCACCTTTCCCAAGCTTCCTGTCCTTCCTAAATGTTACGTACCTGAGATATTCAATTCCCAGTCTTTGTCATCTTCCATTCTTGTCTGTTATGCTATCAGATTTTATACAAGAAATAAAGATTTGTTCTTTCAATTCATCAGTTTGCTTTCATTTTTTTTAATTTCTGCCTTTTTCACTGTTGTTGTAATCACCAGCCTTATCTGTTGGTGCATTCTTAGGTTAGTGTGGGGATCTCTTGCTTCACACAATGGTTGGTCATCCTTTCCCTTGTTGCTACCTTACCTTGTTTTTCAACACAATTTATTATGTCTTCCCAAATGTGATCCCTTAGCCTATTGTTTAGTTTGAACCCCTGACTCCCATAGCCGTGGTTATTTGGTTTGCCAGAAAGCTGGCCGCAATAAAAGTTCAGAGAAAACTGTCTTAATGATAGACCTCTCACCTTGTTCAGTTCTGGTGCCAGTTCCCCATGAATCAAAACACTTTTCTCCCAAAACTATCTTTGAACCATGCGTTTAGCTTTCTCCTCTTCATTTGCCCAATTCCAATTTGCACATGGCTCAGGCATACATCCAAAAATTATAACCTTTGGACTTTTGCTTTTTAAACATAGCACCTAGCTGCTCAGACACCCTCAGCAGAACCTCTTTCCTAGTTCTACCCATGTGGCTCCTCTCACTCCAATTGCAAGTTACCCTCTAGCCCACAGAAGACCATCCTGAACTCTGGTATGAGGCAGGCAATGCAGTTTACTCTCTGTCTCAGAGAACTGTATCTATCATCCTAATTATATTTTCTGCTACTATCACAACATTCCTATTTAGTCAAAGGGGACGTGATAGCCTAGTGGTATTATCACTAGACTGTTAGACTAGAGACCTGCCACGGCAGATAGTGGTATTTAAGTTCAATAAAAATCTATTGATGATCATTGTTGACTGTTGGGAACAAAAAAAACAATGGCTTATTAACATCCGCTGGGGAAGGAAACCACATTCCTTACCTGATTTGTCCTACATATCACTCTAGACCCACAGCAATGTGGTTGACTCTTAATGCCCTATAGGTAATTAGAGATGGGCAATAAATACTGACCTAGGCAGCAATCATCTCATCACATGAATGAAAAAAATTCTTGCCACTTGAATAGCTTTGGGCATTGAGGTACCATCAAAAGTTTGCTCATCCATCCTGCAGCATCTTCATTTGTTGACAAATGTAGCAAGAGCCTTGTACTTGATAGGCAACTCCAAAGGCTGAAGCACCTCCACTTCTACCCTTCTGGGCCTCCCCTTATGCTTGAATCACCAGGCATGCCGATCCATCCACAATTAATTCAACTATAATACTGTGGGTCCAGACAGCCATGTAGGGCAGACCAGGTAAGCATTACAGATTTCCTCCTCTGGAGAGGATAATTGAAACTAATAGGGCTTTAACACCAATTGATTCATGGTTACCATGACTGAGACTAATATTTAATACCAGGTTTATTTATTGAATTGAAATTCCACCAGCTGCCATAATGAGATTTGAACACATGTTGCCCTGAGTATTAGCCTGGGTCTCTGAATTACTCATTGAATGTCAGCTTCCCTGCACCAAACCCCCAAAAGACAGCAAAGAGGTAGCTTTGCTTACCTTGCAAAAATTCAACAAAGACAGTAAAATTAATAACTAGGTGAAATTCAGTTAAACATTTAAGTAAATTAATATAGTAAAAGTGAGGGAATTAAGAATATTTCGGAATGCTAAGAACTGTAGAAAACTACAGAATTTCTTGATGTCGAGTTTGATGGCTGTTAAAACATTCCATGTGGTTTTTCTGGGTTCATCAGGTGATCACAGCAGCCAATTTGGGTCAACAAATATTGATAACTGCAATCATAACAATGCACATGTCAGGAGCAGGTCAGATGATCAGAGGGAGAAGGCAAATAACTCAGGGAAAGGAGAGATAATCTGGAACAATGGGTGGAGAGGGGAGAATGGGGTCAGGAACTCTGGGAAGTGGAACAAAAAATGGAGTGGGGATCAGGGAACAATTTAATCCACATCTAAAAGCAAGGGGTTAATGAAACAGACCTAGTAAAAATGTGGAACTGACACGTTTTGGTCTGAAAACCTGAAAATAAAACTCCAGTATGACCAGTACATTCATTTCCCAGTTTTATCTTATTTATTTTACTTTTCTTTTTCCTTGTGGAGCCAGCTGGTAAGATAGATCCTGTTGTCTTCCTTTCTGTTACATGCAGATCATGTTCACATTCCTGCTTACCATCTGGAACGTCAGTTAAACCATTGCTGTTTGTTTCTCTTTCTCCACTAGGGTTACTACAAGCAGTGTCAGAAAGCAAAGGATTTGTTCCCTCATGCCCGACTGAAAACGCTCTTTTCCAACATTGTGGACATCTACAAAACGCACAAGAAATTACTTCAGAACCTGGAGTGGCATTACAGACCAAACAAACCACACTTGAGTGAGTTTGGCGCTTGTTTCCTTCAAGAAGTGAGTGGTGGTGAGCTATACAAATTTTATTTTGACAAATGTAAATTGCTCAGAGTGATCCTGAATTTGACCACTGCAACTTTCAACTGTGTTGAAGGGCAGCCTTAACTCATTGGGAAAACATCAAAACATGAAACAAGACAAAATCATTTGGGCAATAGCAAAGCCAGCAAATTCTGAAAATCTGAAACATATATGGAAAGTGCTAGAAATGTATCTTTCAGCAGAAAGGTTAGAGCCGTGACAAGTTTGAAGCAAACCCAGGAGAAGTGGAGGTGGGAGGAGAGTAAGAAAGGAAAGGTCAGAGAGGAGTCATTTTAAAATGACAGAAGCTGACAATGGTGCCAGGGAAAAATCTGTAGCTTTCTGAATCAAATAGCAAGTTCAACAATTTCACATTACAACTATTGTTTCTATTTCTTCACTTCCCCTTTTCACACTATTGCAGACCTTCACTTTTTGTTCTTTCTTCCCATGCCCACTTCTCCTGGCAATGCACCTGCTTAAACCTCAATGAACACATCTCTAATTTTACCAGTTTTCAAGAAAGGTCAATCGACCTGAAAATGTTAGGCTGTATCTTATCTACACAAGTGCTGACTAAACTCCCAGGATTATTTGACTAATAAGTCTGTTAATAAAACCATAAGACATAGGAGCAAAAGTTGGCCATTTGGCACATTGTGTCTGCACTGCCATTCAAAGAGATCATAGCCAATCTGATAATCGTCAACTCCAGTTTCCTGCTTTTTTACCATAACCCTTGATTCACTTCCTAATTAAAAATCTGGAATTAAAAATCTACTTTCCCTTATCCTCAGGTAATCTATTTTATGTCTTGAATATATTTAATGAACTAGCCTCTACAGTTTGCAGAGGTAAGGAATTCCACAGATTCACAACCCTCTTGAAAGAATAAATTCCTCTCCATCTCTCTTAAATGGGCGATCCATGACTTTGAAATTCTGTTCCTCCCACAGACCATAAGAAATTTACCGTTAATTCTTATTCACCCATTCAGTCTTCTGAACAAATGCATGAATCTGAAAGCTGTGTGCATGCTTTCTCCAATTTGTGAAGAGAATCAAGTTATCAAATCAGTTTATTTTAATGGATGCGCAAACGACAAATCAGTCAGAACATGCCACCATTAATGCTCAGTGGCATGTTCATTAAATAGTATGAAACTAGCATAAAGCATTCTTGTTTCATTGGTCACCTGTGGAGTATGTAATATGATGAGCTGAAGTACAAGTGTTCACGTTGCATTTGGTAGGAGGGAATGTCAAAGAGTATATTCCCAATGACCAGAGGATATCTCAAACTGGGCAAATAGAACATCACAGGGTCATGCATACAAAATAATCTGACTTTAAGAAAATTGCCAACAGTAATATGATACCTCACAGCTCTCAATAGGAATATGGAGGTAACAAAAGGTAAATGTAAATTATAGAATCATAGAATCCCTACATTTGGCCCATCAAGTCCACACCGACCCTTCGAAGAGCATCCCACCCAGACCCATCCCCCTCACCATCCCTCTAAACCCGCATTTCCCATGGCTTATCCACCTAACCTGTACATTATTTGCAAAGGGCATAGACATGCATGGTGACAAGCTACTGTGATGTAGGATGTGAGATTTATTAATGTTTTAATGTTTAGTTTTAAGTTTAAGTATTTGAATTTTGAACGAGTGACAGATTTTTTCTGAGGTTTTTAATGATTGCATAAATATTTCTGTAGCCATTGTGATTTCTTCTAAAACAACATGATAGTGAGGTAGATTTCAGGAATTTTTTTTTCTGTGCATTAGAAGATAATGTGAATGAACAAGATAAACAATTATGCATCAGGGTTTCTGTTAGAAGGCTTTAAGCTTAGAGGAAACATCCATAGCTTGAAAAATAAAGTTTTTTTAGTTTCAATTAGGGGTAATTCTGCAGAAGTCTTCAATGCTAATGGATGTGTTAAGCAGTGCTCTTCAGAAAGAGAGAAGGTAGGAAATAGATTACTTGAGGGTAAGGGATATAGTAAAAGTCCTGGAGCAGAATTGTTTGGCTAAAACTTTGAAGAGGTTATTTGAAGCTAAGTATACTTAAACTCAGGGACATGAAAGCTGCAGGAAGAGGCTATCAGACTTCCCAGATTAGAAGTTGAAATCACAGTTAAATTAAACCTAATGGTGTTAGAGAAAAAAATTATTTTTTCTCTGGTGTGAGCAGTGGTCTTTTGGGATCTGTAAAGGAGAGTTTTTGCAATCAATGGAATTATAAAATTACCTTGTGTGTCAAAATCTTTTGGTTCATATTATAAGTTAATAGACTGAATTATCTTAATGTATCTTCATTTCTTTTGATTAATAAATTTCAGTTTCAGTTTTAAAACCAAATCTGCAACATTGTATGCTTGTGCTTCAGCGAGAGACTACCTTGTTAAAACTAAACCAAAACAAATATTATCTATTGAGCCAGATTGCAGTCAGGGATCTGATATGTCCAGTAATAACAGGGTAGGACTTGTACACTTAATGGTAAGGTCCTGGGGAGTGTTGCAGAACAAAGAGACCGGGACCACCAAGGACAGGTTCATAGTCGATTGAAAGTGGAGATCCACCTACAGTGAAGGTGGTGTTTGGTATGCTTGTCTTTATTGGTCAGTTCATTGAGTACAGGAGTTGGGGGGTCATGTTGTGGCTGCCCAGGACACTGGTGACACCACTTTTGGAATATTGCATGCAATTCTGATCTCCCTGCTATGGGGAGGATGTTGTGAAACATGAAAGGGTTCAGAAATATTTACAAGGATGTTGTCGGGACTGGATGGTTTGAGCTATAGGGAGAGGCTGATTAGGCTGGGGCTATTTTCCCTGGAGCATCGGAGGCTGAGGGGTGACTTGCCAAATTCCAAAACTAGAAGCGGGAGCGGTGAGAGCGAGGACCAGGGGGCTGCCGGGAAGGTAAGTTTCCCATTTAAATACTTACCTCATGGAATCAGTGGCCTCCATTTTTGCAGCAGCAGCGGGAGCAGTGAGAGCGAGGACCAGGTGGCTGCCGGGAAGGTAAGTTCTTTATTTCGGCAGCGGAGCTGAGTGGGAGTGGTCGAATTGCGCTCTGGGAAGGTGAGTGAACTGATATATTTGGGCAGTGGCTAAACCTGAGACACTACACACAAAGTGTCTCCCACCCACCCTCTTCCTCTAATCAAAAAAAACTCAGTGATGTGTTGATAAGGTAAGGCGTTTCTTTTTCTTTTTTTTTCAAAATCATGTGCTGGTAAGTAGAGTGATTGATAAAATTTTTTTCATTTCATTTATCTATTATTTGATATTATAGCAGGACTAAGCTAAACTTAAGAGTAAAAATGGCAGGAGATCCCAGACCTGTGTTATGCTCCTCTTGCTCAATGTGGGAGCTCAGGGATGCGGCTGATGCCCCTGACTCCTACACGTGCAGGAAGTGGGTCCAGCTGCAGCTCTTGTTAGACCGCATGACGGCTCTGGAGCTGCGGATGGACTCACTTTGGAGCATCCGCGATGCTGTGGAAGTCGTGGATAGCACGTTTAGCAAATTGGTCACACCGCAGATTAGGATTGCTGAGGGAGAAAGGGAATGGGTGACCAAAAGGCAGAAAGAAAAAAGTAGGAAGGCAGTGCAGGTGTCCCCTGTGGTCATCTCCCTCCAAAACAGGTATACCGTTTTGGATACTGCTGGGGGAGATGGCTCACCAGGGGAAGGCAGCAGTAGCCAGGTTCACGGCACCATGGCTGGCTCTGCTGTACAGAAGGGCGGGAAAAAGAGTGGAAGGGCTATATTGGGGAGTATTGTAAGGGGAGTAGATAGGTGGTTCTGTGGTCGAAAACGAGACTCCCGAATGGTATGTTGCCTCCCAGGTGCACGGGTCAGGGACGTCTCAGATCGACTGCAGGACATTCTGAAGGGGGAGGGTGAACAGCCAGCTGTCATGGTGCGTATAGGCACCAATGATATAGGTAAAAAATGGGATGAGGTCCTACGAGCAGAATTTAGGGAGCTAGGAGCCAAGTTAAAAAGTAGGACCTCAGAGGTAGTAATCTCAGGATTGCTACCAGTGCCACGTGATAGTCAGAGTAGAAATGAAAGAATAGGCAGGATAAATGAGTGGCTTAAGAGATGGTGCAGGAGGGAGGGATTCAGATTTTTGGGACACTGGGATCGGTTCTGGGGGAGGTGGGACTATTAAAATCAGATGGTCGACACCTGGGGCAGGACTGGAACCAATGTCCTGGGGGTGCTTTTGCTAACGCTGTTGGGGAGAGTTTAAACTAATGTGGCAGGGAGATGGCAACCAAATGAGGAGGTTAGTGGACAGTAAGGAGGTATTAACTAAAGCCTGTAAGGAACTAAATAATGAAGTCAGTGTAACTAAGGGGAAGAGTAGGCAGAAAGCAGATGATGAACACAAAGGGACAGGTGGTCTAAGATGCATTTGTTTTAATGCGAGAAAAGTGTACTAGGTAAGGCAGCTGAACTTAGAGCTTGGATTGGTACCTGGGAATATGATGTTATTGCTATTACTGAGACTTGGTTGAGGGAAGGGCAAGATTGGCAACTAAATATCCCAGGATATAGATGCTTCAGGTGGGATAGAGAGAGAGGTAAAAGGGGCGGAGGAGTTGCATTACTGGTCAAAAATGATATCACAGCTGTGCTGAAGGAGGGCACTATGGAGGACTCGAGCAGTGAGGCAATATGGGCAGAGCTCAGAAATAGGAAGGGTGCAGTAAGATGTAGGAGCAACAGGGTGGTGGTGATGGGAGATTTTAATTTTCCCAACATTGACTGGGATTCACTTAGTGTTAGGGGTTTAGACAGAGCAGAATTTGTAAGGAGCATCCAGGAGGGCTTTATAGAGCAGTAAGTAAATAGTCCAACTCGGGAAGGGGCCATACTGGACCTGGTGTTGGGGAATGAGCCCGACCAGGTGGTTGAAGTTTCAGTAGGGGATTACTTTGGGAA